TCCTTAATTTTGTGAGCATTCATGGCCCACCATACAATTTCCATACCAAATGTGGCCCTCAGGCCAAAAAGTTTGCCCACCAGGGTGAGGTGCTCTGCTAGCAGTTGAGGTGTTGCCCTCCCTGATTGAACTAACCTAGTTATCTCCATACTGATTTATACCTGCCTCTGGAGATTTCCATTACTTGCATCTGAAGAAGTGAGGTTCTTACCCACGAAAGCTTATGCTCCCAATACTTCTGTTAGTCTTAAAGTTGCCACAGGACCCTCTGTTGCTTTTTACAGATTCAGACTAACACAGCTACCCCTCTGATACTTGAGGCATTTATAATTTCACTTCCTATTGCTTGAACACTACCATTACTAGTTTGGCCCCCGAAATGTAGAGACGTTGGCTTAGGGACTTCTTTGGGATAGTCTATCCACAGCAACTGTAACCATTTAGGTAAACCACCACTGGGAGGAAAAAACAAATCCCATCTCTAGCTCTATCAGTACACCGGCGTGCAGGACCAGGGCCAAATGTTTTCTAAATACCTGAACTACCCCCCAGAACAGCATCTCCCCCTGCTGCCCAGCCTCCCCTACGCGATCAAGGATAGCAGTGCAAGACTGAGTCACAGCCACGCCACACCACTGCACTCCAGGCGCTGCGGGGAGTGCCCCAGGCTGCACCGGTCCGGGCGCTGTACAGGGGCGAAGGAGAGCAAGAGCGGCAGCGCCCCCAACAACCACCCCCACCCCAGCTCCCGGCCAGCCCTGCCGGAGCAGCATGAGGCAAAGCCCGGAGCCAGCGACACCTGTTTCCGTTGCTTTCCTAAATGCCCAGGTGTTGACGACTAGCGGCAGCGCAGCCAGACCCGCGCCCGCCGCCCCGGACACAGGCGGCAGCAGCAGAAGAAGGAAGCGGAGAGCCTGACGCGCGCTGAACCCCATTGCCGCGCGCCGGCTGCACTCATACATCATCCGGGAAGCGCGCGCCTGAGCTCGTGACTAATCACGCGGCCACAATTTCACAATCCCACCCGGAAGACGCGCCCGACCGCCAGGGAGGGGAAGCAGCTGCCACGGCTGAGCGAATGGCTCCGCCCCCTCGCCGTTCCGTGCTCCCTCCCTCCGCTGTTACCATCCCCAACCCACTCCTCCCCCGGCAGAGCCCATGTGCTGCTGAGCTGTGGACTGGGCTCAGGTCCCTCGCGCCCAGCGCACTCAGTGTAGGCGGCTGGTGCCAACAGGGCAGAGGTGGGGCGGCCACAGGGCTGCCCCCCACCTGCACCAGGCTGAGATGTGAGCTGGACCACCCCTTGTTCTGTGCCCAGGTGCCAGCTCTGACTCACCCTGGGGTGGGCCTGCCCAGGGTCTCTCACCTGAGTTCTGTGAGTTAGAGCTGGTGCCATGGCACAGACGAGGGGGAGCTGGCCTCGAGGTGATGCCTTATGTCCCAGGCATTGGGACACGTGCTCTGAGGCTAAGGCAAGGTGTGGGCAGTCACCTCACCCTAACTCAGGGCAGGCACCGTTGCCACCCAGGAAAGCACCTGTGCCACTTTGATGACTCTTGCAATGCACAGAGCAGGCCACCCCCATCTGAGATGTGAATGTGTGTTGTTTATTTCATTATGTTTCAATTATTATTATTTGTCTTGGGGCACTGCTGTTGTTGCCACCTCTCCTAATATTTGATTTTTGTCTGAAAACCGCAACTCCAGGAGTTTTAATTACCAGGAGAATTTCAGGTGTCATTTAAAAAAAAGGATTTTAGCCATCATGGTTGCAGAGAAAAGCTTGAAAAGGGGAACTCTAAAGGCTCACAAACCAGAAGGCAAATAAAAAGTTTTTTTTTTAAATCTTATGATTTTTAAGCCAGTGTCATGATTTTGGGAGGCCTGACAATTAAACTGAAGTTTGTCAGTGATTAAGAATGAACACAATAAACCAGGTTCCCATGCTCTTGGGAAAAAAAAGTAGTCTTTTTCTATGTATGATCATAAGATTCATGCATCAGCTTCTAAGTGCCATTCTGCTCTTGTATGAGTGTATTTTCTAGAGGGGAGTGTTTCTGTGATGGGCTTTAACTAGTTTTCATGATCTTTCACTGTTGTGGCAAATCATTTATTGAAGCTGACTTTATAAAGTTTCTCTTTTTAAAAGAAAAACAATCACAATGTATATCGCATATTTTATAATCCTGCCAACTGTGCTAAAAATTTACTGATTAAAAAACACCTGCAACAAATAGTTTAAAAGTGTTTAACATGTTACTATAGCAGCTTGAATTATTTTAAAGCCCCAGGCTTACATGATGTTAGCACCTCAGACACAGTCAATACAAGACACTGATTGTGTTCAGAATAATTGCATACAAGCAACCAGTTAATACTTATGAACAACAAGAAAAACCAACTGCTGCTCTCAGAACTGGGATGTTATAAAGGTATTGCAGAAATACTTTTCCATTCAATATCATTGGTCTTCTGGAATACATCATGGGCCAAATTCAATGAAATTGTACCAAGAATGTATTTGGCCTCATATAGCTAGACAATTCATCAGAAAGAAGGAAGATGGGATGTCTGGGTCTTACATATGGCAAGGTCAAGTTTGTAGGCATGCATAAATTGTCAGTACACCCAAGTTGGTTTAAAAAGCCTGCAGCTATATTATTATTATGATGACAAAATAATCCACAAACTTTGGAAGGCTGCTGTAGTCACCAAGCAACAGTATTATCCTTTATTACAAAAGTCAACAACATAATAAAACACACTTAAAATATTGGGCCTGAACACAAGAATAACTCGACTTTAGCTTCCAAGATTTCCCAAGAGTAAAACTGCAAGAAACCTTATTCAGGTAAATACCCTGTTAGCTAATTCATTTCTGATATTAAAGTTCTTATTTCTGCTATATATCTCTTTATAAGACTTGCAGGGAAAAGATAAGGGCAAAAAAAGTATGAGTTACTGCTAGCTTAAGGGAATAAGGAGAAAGAATTACTACCAAGAAAATAGGCCTGTTAATAAATGAAAAGGAAGACAAAATTAACCACTATTCTAAATTAGCTATGTTACTGAACAGCTTGTATAGTTAATCTTTTAAGAAGATAAATAAAAAAGGAGTATGGACCATTATGAAGTAATGAAGAACTTGCCTTCATAGCTTTTGTGCACAGGAAAATACAGATCATGATGAAGGTATCTGCATCATGCAAGCCTAGAAGGCAGGACATTTAAGGAACCTGAATGTTTGGTAGGACACATGACAGCATGGCATTGGGACATGTTGCTTGTTTAAATGTAGATTTGGTTGGTTTTCTTTCTCTGACAGTTCTTTGTAAGTGGTAGTCAAAATTTAGTAGCACAAATGATTAAGTATCAGAGGAGTAGCCATGTTAGTCTGTATCAATGAGGTGTCCGGCGGTACCTTAAAGACTAACAGATTTATTTGGGCATAAACTTTCGTGGGTAAAAAAATCACTTCTTCCAATGCATGGAGTCAAATTATTAATCTATCTCATATAGAAGAATGTTATTATTTATTACTTGTATTGCAGAGCTCGTATGTGCTAGGCACTGTACAAACACATAGGGTCAAATTCTGGCCTAACTAATACCAGTGTAAAACTAATAGTAAAATCAGTAGAGTTACTCTGGATTTACACCAGTAAAACTGAAAGCAACATTTGGTTAGCATCACTCAAGGGCAACTATTGGTGCTACATCCATCTACTGTAAGTTATTGAACACTTGATTTTAATTCTGCCTTTGTTGTAAACTGTTTTAAAAAATATTGTTGCCTTTGAAAGTTGTTTGTACCTCCACAGATGTTGACTGTATTCTGATTCTGATTTTCTTTCTGGATTAATGGAACCTCATTGCAGTCTGCTACTATCTTGAGTGTTAATTGCACTCTACAGACAGGGCCGGCTCCAGTGTTTCTGCCGCCCCAAGCGGCCGGGGGTTGGGGGGAAGCTGTGATCGGCGGCACTTCGGTGGCAGCTCCACCGCGCCACTTCGTTCTAGTGCCGAATTGCCACCGAAGAGCCAGACGTGCCACCCCTTTCCGTTGGCCGCCGCAAGCACCTGCTTGCTGCGCTGGTGCCTGGAGCCGGCCCTGTCTACAGACCATAGCTAAATTAGAATGCTGGTAGAGGTAGGAGATGCCACATCTAGTGAATAAAGTGATGATCCAGAGATTGAATCCTGTTAGTAAATTATAAGAAGAGACAATATTCTAGAGAAAGACTTTCTTTGCAAAAATCCACAGTTCACTATAAGATGTGCACCAGACAGCTTCTTGGTTGATTGGTACTGAGTAAATAATAAAAACAGGGAGAAACTCACCTCTCCTACTAAGAGCATCTCTTCCTACAGTGGCCAGATTCTGCCACAAGTTACAACTGTGCAGTCTCATTTGGGACCATCTGTTCAAAAACTGCACGTCTAGCCATGCTTTGTTTGTCTAATGTTTCACATTTTGATGCCATGAAATCCAATTGATTTCTGTATTTGTAGTTTGTAACTTGTTGACGTTTTTAACCTTGATTAAGCTTTATGACTTTCTGAAATGAATACACCCATACAGAGACAAAAACACCAAACTAGAGAATATTTTCCTTGAGTGAACCAAAAGAGGTAATTATTATTTGATTAGCATTTGTTGTTGAAATTTGCATAGCTGTACATTTTTGCTAACACTGAAGATTTGTGATACATAAGCCATTTTTAAATTAAATCCATCTTGCTACTAATTGAATAGATTTTTTATTACCTTATTATATTATCTTGATCTATTTAGAGTAGTTTTGTGGAAGTAGATGTCCTCCATTAGTCTGTAATAAAATCTATTGGAGGAAATCATGTTTTCCTTCCTTCCTGTTACTGTTGTAAATATTCTGTTTCATTTTTAAAAAAAATAAAAAGTTGTACCAGATTCCCAGATTATGATGGCTCACTTTCTTGTTTTTGTAGCTGTTCAAAGTAATTATTGTGTCTTATATGTTCTTACAGTAATAAGTTGGCCTGTTGTGCTCTTTTGTCTCAAAAGAAGCTACAGTACGTGTAATATATATCCCATTTGTATTTGCAATACTGGTCCACTGCAGTAATAAAGTTGTCATACTGAACATGTAATGGACCACTTTACATTGTTAGCACTGCCTTTTTTATTACAACTGTTTGTAACTTTATGTCTTCATTAATGTGATCCATTGCAATAATAAAGTTGTCGGACATCTCCTGCAACTTACTGTTTTCTACCCCCAACCCTGAAAGTTACTTTGGCTTTGGCAGTTCAGTTTACTTTCTATTTCAATGTTCATATTGAGGTAACCAGAAATATGGCTACTATAATCATATTATTGAATAAATGTGGCAGTTTATGAGATCTACATCCATTTTATATAACTTTGTTATGATTTGGTATCAGTAAATTTAAATGTGGACTTCACTGAATTAGGAATGCATTCAACACTGAAAACAAACATACATCGGCTGATATGCTCCATTGACATTTTTGTGTACCTGGTATCCAAATGTAATATACAATTACCTTGGGGGTTAACATACAACATTTAGACCCTGATCTTGGAAATGTACGTGTGTTGAAATCAATGGGTTCTGCCCACATGCTTCTCTTTGCAGGATAGGGGCCTTGTTCTTATTGCAGACTAGTGCCTCTTTGTATTTTGGAAAAAAATGCTACTTTTGAACAAGTGCTTTTTTTAATTAAAAAATGTTCTTCTTAGACCCCCCAAAACTGTTCTGTGTAGGCTATTTGATTGAGGAAAAAGGCAAACAGTGCTATTTTCTTAGGATTCATTTCTCATGAATAGTAATACAAATATATTTTAGAGTTGTATTAACTAGTGAGTTTTAGCTTATTTGGAAAATGCTTTTGTAGCTGCCAAGAGATTTAGACCCAGATTTTAGCCATGGGTTGGTGGGCTGCAAAAGAGCCAATTACAGCTCCCTGATTCTGGAGCTGGTTCTATGACAACCCCAATATAATTTAGAGCAGCTGGGGTGTACTCTAATTGAACTCCCATTGGCTATAGCCTTCAAAGCCCATTAGCACAGCTGGAATGCAGTAGTGCTATAGATGTGCCTGCTCATGCCCACAAAATAGAACACTGTAGGAAATCATAGCAAAGTGACATTTTTGTTAATTTTATAGAATTATTTTCTGAAAATGTGTAGCAAAGAAATCAGCTATGCCGTCTACACACTACACACTGGCTGGGGATATCTGGCAGTGGGCAAGCTCCTTTGCACCATCAACAGTGTATAGTGGTCAGATCAAAGTATCTAATTCAGTAGTAATTTTCCATTCTAATTATTGCCCTGTGGAAGCTATGTAGAACTCCAGAGCTATGCAGCTGTGGAGGTTACCCTGATTCCAAATAGGGAAAAAATACATCCTTTTCTTTGGCTGCAGAATGGCAATTAGCCATTCTGTGCTGCTTCTTCCAAACCAAAGTTTCTGATTCCATCTAGACTGGGTGTGGCAAGATATATTTTAAATTGAGATGACAAACACAGAACATGGCAATCCTACTTTAAGGCTGCCACTACATCTTTAATTTACACTCTTGAACATACATATTTCCCACCAGTAAAATGATTAGAAAAAGTTTACAATGCTTGGACTAAATGGGATAAGTTAAGGATTAAATAGCAGCTGCAGATCTGAATTCCTTGCTTTGTGAAGATTTAGTCTGAGTCTTTGAACACATTCAGCTACATTCTGCTCAGTCAATCTGTGCAGCTTCACTGAAGTCAATGGGAATTGCCTGGGTGTAACAAAGCAGAATTCGGCTCAGTATTTTTGTGTGTTTTAATAACGTCTAATTTCTTCTGAAACTTTGGCAGCATTCAGACTATAAATGTAATTATTTTACACATTTGCTGATTATCTTTGATATTTATCCTATGAAATAATTTGTTGAATTAAAATCATTATAAGTCTCAGGCAGAATATTTTCCTCACCTCTGACTTTGATTTTAGAGTGCAACAACAGTGGGAGTTATGTTGCTTCAGTATCAGACACATGAATTCAGATTGCAAATGAACAATAATTGACCTGATTCAGCAAGCCCTTATTCCTGTGGTTGGTCCCATTGGCTTCATTTAGAGTATTCACAGAAATCTGTTACAGTACTGCCATCGGTAAGAATTAGCAGGATTAGGCACAACTTCTGAACACTTTCAGAATCCTAGTTGTCTGGAAATAATTTTTAGTTTCATTCTTCCATATATCAATATTTGTACACATTTTCAGAAAAGAATTCTATAAAATTAACAAAAATGTCACTTTGCCAAAGATACCTGTTTGGCATACAAAATACCTATTTGTCCAATAACCTATTTTCTCTTTGTTTAGAAAGAAATCCTGAACCTGAGTGCAATAACTTTGTCAATTCCTTTTGAAATGTAGCATTGATATGCTTATTAAAAGCACACTGTGATGGCTTTTTCACTTATTTTTTATTTAAAAGGGTTGCCTCTCATTCTTGATATTTCCTGTTTATTTTTTTATTTGTTTATAATCTAAGTGTATTTTTATTATATACTTATTGCCCTAAATATTGTCTGTATGTTTTACATTGACCCTTGCTTCCTCCACATAGTTTGATTCTTCATTCTGTTATCCCTGCTTTATACCATCTTAACTTCACTAATTGAGGTGATTTACACTGGTGTAAAACTGGTGCAATGGACTGGAGAATCAGATCTTTGTTCTCTAGTTTTCATGTGTTTGGCAATTAAAAAGAGGTTTTCCTAGATATGCTTAGAGAATTTGCACACAATTGCTGAGAGTTTGTTTATCAGGTTTCAGTAGCTTCATAAAAATTGTGAATAGAAAATGCACTGCTATTTACTATTTTACTAGTTGTAGCGCTGCACACAACACAATTAACCATCTGCCCATTAGAAATATGGCAAATGTTTTATTTGTGTCTGAAGGAAAATACAAACAGATTTTGCCTTGTAGAAATTGCATTTTATATGTTTTTTGAGATCATATTACAGAAAAGCCAGGAATCTATTAAACACTTTGTTTAGTTTAGCATAACAGTAGGAATATTCTGAGACTTGATTTAAAAATGAATAATATCACACCGGAACTGCTGAAGTTACTATAATGCCTCCTTCCAAATGACTCTTAATTTCCTGCTGGTCTGGTAGAAAAATCTATTCATTATGACTCATTTTTAACATGATCCAGCTTCAAAATAGAAACTGTGTTGTTCTTATTCTTATATAAAGGAAAACCTACTGTGATGATTACCCAAAGCAGCTATTAGAAACAGGAAGATGTACAATGTGACTGACACTAGATACGGTCCATATGTTAACCTGCATTTTGCAGCCAAAGCCAATAAACACAAATATTAGTATTTAGAATCAGTAGCTTATACTACATATTTATTATTGAGAAGGACTATATAATTCAGTCTTCACTACACTGAATGTCCAACCAGATTTTCTATATTACATATTTTTATCATTTAAATATTTGTCATTCAAATATGGAAGAGCAGCTGTGCAGCTCGGGGCACATATGTTGGGTGATAGTGGAGATACACATCTGGTGCCTGGTTCTCATTGATTGAATTCCAGCTGGAGATTTAAATTCATATCCAGCAGTGACACCAGAAATTGAGGGGTGCATATTATTCCACAGGAATTTTCCCATTGGGGTGTTTCATTGAGATGCATTTTAACAAGAATAGATTGTGCAATGATGCTTGGATTAATGCTTTCACCAAAAGATGTTCATTGATAGAACATCATGAATCTGCCTTCTCTAGTCATTGCACATATTGGCACCAATGCATCACTTGTGTGACTCTGCTCAAGTTAGTGATACAGGTATGAATTTGATCCTATTTAAAACACATTTTAAATTCAGGGAGAGTAAAACCTGATACTAAGGCTCAAACATTCTAGAGATACTCAAATGACAAATCCCTATAATCAGTTTGCAGTTGGCTCAGTATTTTAACACCACAACACAACAACATATCCTTTGGAAAGGAGAACCAGCAGGTGATTATTTTAAGATAATTGAACATATCACGCTTTATAAACTTGTGAGAACCGATTACTCATTTCTATTTATTCTGAGATTTCTAAAAGTCACCCATCATGGGAACAAATGTTAGAACACACCATCACAACAACAACATGGAGGTAAATGTCAAATCAAATGAACTCCCTCTAAAACTTCATGTCTGTTCCTCCTAGATTTACCAACACCAAAAGCCAGTACAAATGACTATGGTTTATACTTTTCCTAGAAGGTCAACAAATTAGGGCTTTCTCTGGTCAACAGGGGGTGTGAATTCCAGACTAAGGGTACATCTACACTGCAATAAAAAATCCATGGCACAGAGTCTTAGCCTCTGGTCAATAAATTCAGGCTCACAGGGTCTCAGAGCCCAGGGTCCATCCAGCCGGATCCCAAATGTCTACACTGCAGTTTCCAGCCCCACTAGCTCCAGTCAGCTGACCCGGGCCAATGCAGAGGTACCCTGAAAGGCCTTGTATCAAGAACAGCTTGGGCCAGATTCTCAGTTACACTAGACTAAAGCTGAGAAATATGTTTCATAATTATTAAGATAATTAAGATAAGATTCAAAATTATTTTTCAGTGAAAAAGGCAGATTCAGCAACACCAAAATGTTTCATGAATTCATCAGGATTTCAACAAATTTTTCCAGTAAAAAAAACCAAAAAACCTAAAAAAATTTGCCCCACCAAAATTTTGTTTTAATATTTTTGAACTACTTTTCATGTCAAAATTACTTTTAATTTATTTTTTTAAATGTTTAAAAATACTCAGAGTTGAAACAAAGTATCTCCTTTTGGGTCAAACAAAATGTTTCTTTTTCCCTAAAATGATTTTTTTTAAATTTTCAATTAATCAAAACTTC